TGAGCCACCCAGGTGCTCCAGTGCCCCCAGATTTTTCTTGAAGAAAGAATTCTATGACTAAAAAACCACATCCAAGATGTCTTCTCTCAAGGTCTCCCAGCTCTGATGTTTTGGGATTCTATATTCAGACAGCTGTGGAGCAGTGAGAGCCAAAAGTCTTGAGCTTGGTCCTTCACTGTGTGGCCTTGGGCAGGTGACACACTTTTTAGAGCCTCGGTGTCCTCATCTGTAGAGGCAGTGATACTTCGCCAACAGGGGTGCGGTGAGGATCCAAAAGGAACTGGAAACTGTAGGTGGGGGGATTGGGCTTCAGGGAATGCACTTTGCATCATTATACACATTCCACCCCCCACCCCCACTCCAGGCAAGGACAGGGAGAGACATTTAGGCTTTATTTCTAAGGGGGGGTACCTTGGAGTCCTGAAATTTCATTCATCTATTCACTGAACAAGTCACTGCTCTGGTTGTAAAGGGTACAGCAGTGACACGCCAAAGTCCTTGCATCTGGGTGTGTATCCTGGTGCTGTGCTGAGTCCTGGCCCACAAATCTCGTCTCTGCAGCCGACTGCCTCTGCTCCATGAACAGGGATGGCTCATGCGCATTGAGAGTTTACTATGTTCCAGCCCCTTTATGATTCCATTAAGCCTCCATGAGATAGATACGTTCTTCATCCTCATTTTACAGAGTAGGAAACCAGACTCACAGTGAGACTGAGTCACTGCCCAAGGTTACACAGGTAGAACTTGGCAAGGCTGGGATGGGAACCCAGGGCTCACACACAAGACCACTGAGCACTTCTGCAGAGCGTGTCACCTCGGCAGAGCGTGTCAGCATGGGTGTGCGGGTGGCCACAAGGGATGCAGGAGGGGAGCCTGGGCTGGGGTGGGCTTCCAAGACCTGGCAGAATAGTAAAATCTCTTTATTGTTTTGTCTCCTTCTGTGTCTCTGACTGTCTCCAGTTTTCTCCTTAACCTCATTTGATACAACTCTTCCTGACTTCATAGTTCTCGGAGCCTCACCGATTCTTTCAGTGCCTTCTCCCCACCCTCAGGATATGGACCAGGTCCCAGGCTCGGCATTCAAGGTCCCCAGGAGGTCTCCTTTGCAGGCTTGCTTCCTGTCCCTGTGCTGCCCTGTGCCCTGTGCTCCGCTTAGATTGACCTGTGTGAACTGCCTTTTCCGAGTCCAGCTGGCTCTTTTCCACCACTGCTCTCTACATGTTGTTTTCTCTGCTGAGACCACTCTTCCCCACTTGTCCCACCCAGCTCCCCACAGTCTTCCCTGGGTCCCTGGGTTGGGCTATGTTTGCACCCTTGCTGGGCCACACCCCAGGCTATGTCACTACCATGGTGTGCTGGACTGTCACAGTCTCCCTGTCCACCTGAACCTTGACAGCTCCTCAAGGGCAGGGCCAGGTTGGGTCCCCACCATTGCTCAGCATAGAGCCTGGCACAGAGGGGGTGTCATTGATCCTGGGTGGCCCTGTACTGTGAGTGAAATTTTAGGGACCTCTAGAGGACCATCCCATACTGAGTGACAGGTGGAGAAGAGGGCAAAGTGGGACCTGGGGTAGGATGCGGGGTGAGGACCAAGGCGTAGGGAGGTCAGAGTGGCCAGAGGGGTTCATCCGAGGTCCCAAGGACAGATACCCAGACTGGTTCAGAAGAATGCCCAGGCCAAACCACAGATACCCTATTACATTGCAGCCAGATCATGGCCCTGGCATTAAAACTGCATATATTATGTAGTAGTAGATACATACAAAATGGATGTATGACACATGTTTATAAGAAATAAATAGGCTAATTATGTAATTTATTATCCAAGTCAGAACCTTTCTGAGAAAGAGGTTGTGATGAACAATTATGTTGGGACAACAGGTGTAAATCTGGGAATACCGGTTGTATGACCACCCTGGATATGAAGCATAATCATGAAACCTTTGAACCCAATAAAACCATGAGAGCGTGACTAATACGTGGGCTTCATCCTTTCCCCATTCCCTTGCCTTCCCTACAGAAGAAACTGCTATCTAGAATTTTGTATGAGTCGTTTCCACAATAAAAAAACCCCCAAACCAAAACACTTGTATTACATACCACATATGTATGAAAACCTAAACAACATAGTTTAGTTTTGCTTGTGTTTGAACCTTAAAAGTGTTGGATCGTGTTGCATGGAGTCTTCTGTGACAAGCTTTTCTCACTCTGTGTTATGTTTCTAAGATTCCTTCACATAGTTGGCTGCGGTTAGATCTGATTCATTTCCACTGCTGTGTGGGATTTCATTATACGGAGATAGCACAATTTATTAATTCATTTTCCTGCTTAAAGACACCAGCTTGGTTTTGAAGTTTTTGCTGCTGTATGTTTATTTTTGAGAGAGAGAGAGAGAGAGAGAGAGCACTGAGAGAGGGAGGGGCAGAGAGAGAGAGGGAGACACAGAATCTGAAGCAGGATCCAGGCTCTGAGCTGTCAGCACAGAGCCTGACGCGGGGCTTGAACCCACAAACCATGAGATCATGACCTGAGCTGAAGTCAAACGCTTAACCCACTGAGCCACCCAGGTGCCCCTATTTTTTTTCTTTTTTTCTTTTTCTTTTTTTTTTTTTTTAATTGAGTTGCTGTCTTCTCTTATTAACTTGTAAGAATTCGTTATGGATTCTGAGTAGTAATGCTTTTTTTGTTATGTGTGCTTCAATACATCCTCCCAATTTATAACCTGCCTTTTCAACAGTCAGAAAAAAATTAACTTGGAAGAAGCAGAGACTATGCATAGTGATAAACACTTTAACAAAAACAACAACAACAAACATTGTTAACATCCTCAAAAAAAAGAAAAATACTGCACCCATAAAAAAAAAAAAAAAGACAAGATACTATGCAAAAGCAGTGGTCAGAGAACAAATAAGGAGCTCTTGGAAATGTGCTCAGAAAAAGGGAAAAAAAAGCAACTCTGTAGGGCATTGAAGAAATTTTCCAGAATGGAGAACAAAAAGAGGTGAGAAAAAAAAATATATCTATATCTATATCTATATCTATATCTATATCTATATCTATATATAAAGAATGTAGAAAAGTGCCTGGCTGGCTCAGTCGGTAAAGCCTACAACTCTTGGTCTCAGGGTTGTGAGTTCAAGCCCCACGTTGGGTGTGGAGATTACTTAAAAAATATAAATAAATAAAAATAAAAATAAAAGAATGTAGAAGACCAGTCCAGAGGGCCAATATTGAAATAATTAAAGACAGTCAGAAAGAGAAGAAAAAAACAACAACAAAAGAGAAGGTGGAGGTGAGGAAAATCATTATAGAGGTAGTTCCAGAAAATTTTTTCCAGATTGAAGATGAATTTCCAGAACGAGATGACCTACTGCGTGCCCAGCACAATGAATGGAAATAGATTTTACCCCAAGACACACTGAGGACACAGGAGACTAAAAGCTTCCAGAGAGAAAGAGTAGGGCTCTGATAAGAGATGATGAAACAGAATGACATTGAACTTTTCGACAGAAACTAGAAGACACTGGAGCAAGCCTTCACAACTCAGAAGGAAGATGATTTCCAACTTAGAATTCAATACCTAGTTATGCTATTGAGTAAACGTGAGGCACTTTTAGAAATGCAAGGCCTCCAAAAATATACCTCAAATACCTCCTTCTAGAAAGCTGTGGGTAGGTGTTCCCCCCAATCCAGATGTGAGTATAAAAAGAGGAAGATGTGGGGGGGCGCCTGGGTGGCTCAGTCGGTTGAGCGTCTGACTTCAGCTCAGGTCATGATCTCACGGTCTGTGGGTTGAAGCCCCGTGTCAGGCTCTGTGCTGACAGCTCAGAGCCTGGAGCCTGCTTCCAGTCCTGTGTCTCCCTCTCTCTTTGCCACTTCCCCACTCTCACTTTGTCTTACTCTGTCTCTCAAAAATAAATAAATGTAAAAAAGTTTAAAAAAAAAAGAGGAAGATGTGGGATGTGGGAAGCAAGGGATTTGACATAAGAGAAAAGTGCAGAGAAACCTCCAGGTGACCGTGAAGGGAGAGTCCAGGACGAGAGCTGAGCAGCTGGCCCTGCCGTCCACCCATCCAGATAGAGTCGTCAGAGATCTGCAAGGACTTCCTCCACACGAGTCAGTGAGTCCTTAATATGGGTGATTGTGTTAAGAGGAGATTTACACATATTGAGGGAGAGTTTGGGGATGAATAAGGGATTGAATACATAGAAAATTAAGCAAAGAATAAAACAATAAAAATAAAAAGAATCAATTATTAATTCCAGGAAAGACACAAAGTTGTGCAGGAAAAAAATTCATCATGGCACACTGGGAATAGCATTTATTTTGTTGTGATCACATAAAAATCCTCCCAAGATATGCCACCCAAAGCATAGGCAACAAAGGAAAAATAGACAAATTGGGCTACATTAAAAATAAGAATTGTGTATCAAAGGACACAATCAACAGAGTGAATAAGCTACTCATGGGATGGGAGGAAACCTTTGCAAATCATGTATACAATAAGGGGCTAATATCCAGAATATATAAAGAATTCCTACAATTCAACAACAACAAGACCAAACAACTTGGTTTAAAAATTGGGCCAAGAACTCGAATGGACATTTTTCCCAAGAAAATGTATAAATAGCTAAGAAGCACATGAGATGATCCTCAACATCACTAATCATCAAGGAAATGCAAATCAAAACCACAGTGAGATACTACCTCATACCCTTACAATGACTACCGTCAAAAAAGTAAGAGCGAAAGCAGAAAATAGCAAGTGTTGGTGAGGATGTTGAGAAATTGGAGCCCTTGTGCCATGTTGGTGAAAATATAAAATGGTGCAGTCGCTGTGGAAAACAGTATGGAAGTGCTTCAGAAAATTAAAAATAGAATCATTATATGATCTAGCGACTCCACTCCTGGGTATATACCCAAAATAACTGAAAGCAGGATCTTGAAGAGATATTTGTACACCCATATTCATAGCAGAATTATTCACAATAGCCAAGAGATGGAAGCAACCCAAGTGGCAATGGGCTTATTTATTTATCAATGGATAAATACATAAACAAAATGTGAAATACACACACAATGGAAAATTGCTCAGCTTTATAAAGGAAGGAAGTTCTATAGTACACTACAACATGGATGAACACTGAAGACACTGTGCCAAGTGAAACAAGCCAATCATAAAAGAGCAAATATGGGGGGGCACCTGGCTGGCTCAGTTGGAAGAGCATGTGACTCTTCATCTTGAGGTTCTGAGTTCAAGCCCCACACTGGGCATAGAGATTCCTAAAAAAACTCCAGCTCTTCTGAGAGTACATAGCCAGGAGGCAAGAAACCAAGGCGGGGTTGGTCCTGCTCTGCCTGTGGTCTGCTATGAAACCGTGAAACGCCTTCATCCTCTCAGTTGCTGGGTGTCTCCATCTGTGTCATGAAGGGGTCCTTGCAGCTAATAGCAATGATGTTCATGGTAACTGTAGATAATCGTTATGGAGGCTTACTCTGTACTCTTAACTCACAGAAACAACAACAATACCAACACTTATACAGGGTGTGCTATGTATCGAAAACTCTTCTGAGCACTTTATGTATACTAACTTCATTCATCCTCACGAATTCTATGAGATGGCAATTCTATGAGTGTGGCAACCAGTCTCCAAGAGGCTCACGGTGATTTATGTCTTCTGGCTGGTATGCTCCTGTATGGTCCCTTCCCACATGGACGAGAGCTGACCTGGGTAACCAGTAGGATATTGCAGAAATGATGCAGTACAACTTCCACAGTTAGATCATAAAAAGACATTACGACTTTTCTCCTTGCTTTCTCTGTCTCTCTTGAATGGGTAACTGTGGGAGAAGCTGGCCGCCATGTTGTAAGAGCACTCAAGCAGTCCTGTGGAGAAATCCATGTGGTGAAAAACTGAGTCATACTGTCAAAGCCAACAAGAACTTGCCAGCCATGTGAGTGAGATAACTCAGACCCTCCTGCCCCAGTTAAACCTTCAGAAGGCCACAGCACCACTAACATTGTGACCCAACTAAGCTGCTTCCAAATTCCTGGCCCATAGACACTGTGAGAAATAATAAATATTTATTGTTGCTTTAAGTTGCTAAGTTTTGGTGTATTTTGTTATGCAGTCATAGATAACTAATACTATTAGGTAACATTGTCATCCCCATTTTATAGATAAGGACACTGAGGCACAGAGAGCTCAAATAACTTGCCCTGGGTCACACAGTTAGCAAGTGATTTAAACCCTAGCAGTTTGGACCTATATAAGTACACGTAATGAATGAGAATACCTTTTTTACAGGAATGAAGATATTCTGTCTAGCCAGAGAGAGTAAGAGGAAAAAATACAGAGAAAAGTGGCAAAGAGAAATTAGCAATTGGCTCACAGTACAGCGGGAAAGACTTGAGCTAGACTTCTGTAAACTGAAGGCCATGGACAGTGGGAGAGCGCTGCTGCCCTTACAGCTCAGCTGTGATTATCTCAGGTCGTTGGTTTGTTACCCTGGCTGGGTGGGTGACATAGCCTTGGGTACCTGGGCGTGGGAATCTGACCCCCCTGAGCAGCCCCACCAGGGGTTATTACCCTGCACTGTCACTGTCTGCCCCCAGACCAGAGATCCTCAAAGGCAGGGACTTAGTCTTGCTCATTTGTGCCTCACCTAGCACAAGTCCAGTCAAGGAAGTCTGGGGAGATATATGCAGAAAGCCTTTAGGCTCTGGCTGTGACCTTTCTGGATGAGGCTGGAAGGCTTCCCAGAGGAGGAGGCATTTGAGCTCAGGCTCAAAGGATGGAATAGAAGTCAGACAGTGCAAGAGTGTTCTAGGCAGAGGGTACAGACTGGCAAAAGCCTGAAGCTCCAGTTCTTGTGGGGCCAAGGTGAGGGAGTGGAGCGTGCATCGGGTGAGCTGCTGGGCCCCAGCAGTTCTGGAGGCAGAACATGGAGGCTTGGACAGGGCAGAGTGACGTGCTGACAGCAGATGGAATGACATTTGTTTCTTTCTCGTGGCAAACTCACTGCGCTTGGGGTTGGGTTTGAGGGTTTTCTTTGGACACCCAAAAGCAGACACAGCCTGTACGCTTGCTTGAGTCATCCCAGGATGGAGAGAGAGGACAGGTGGGGACAAATCACCCAGGCAGCAAAAACTGTACCCCAGTGTCCATTTGGTGCCTGGTGTCTGTCAGGGGCTGGGCTTTCTCCAACTGCCCCTCCCCGGAATTAGCCAACTTACGTGCCCTGAAAACTTCCCAGTTCTGCCACCTGGGTTCAAATGTTGGCTCTGTCATCTACTAGCTGTGTGACCTCCCCATTCCTTAATGTGCTCATCTGCAAAGTGGGATAAACACACAACCTGCCTCAGGGGGGATATTTTAAGGACTAAATGAGTTAAAGCATTTAAAGCACTTCGATGGTGCTTGCCCCCAGCAAGTGTACTGTAAGAATTAGCTGTTATCATTACTTGATATGGTTTACCTGTTAACCTTCTCGAGTATTTAAGCATCATTTATCAAACGCTAGTTATGCGGCAGGCCTTGTACTTATCCTCTGAAAATAAGGATGAGTATGACACAGTCCTCCTGGGGGTACAGAAAATTTCAGCAAGGCAGAAACAAATATTGGTCAAATGTGCCCCATGCCAGAGACCCAGAAGTTCAGGAGAGTTGCTTCCTGTCCTCAGGGAGGTCACAGGCTGACTAGGGAGAGAGGGAAGTGGCCCAAGTTGGCTGTGGACTGAGGGGAGCCTAGAAAGCCTCTGATGTGGGCTGTTGAGAAAGAAGGAGCTGCCCATCTTGGCCACTGGATCTGGGGGAGACCATACGTATGAACAAAGATCTCCCTTGGGAGGGGAAGTCAGTGAATGCCTGGGCTCAATCTTTGTTCTTTGAGTGTTGGGAAGTCACTGGGGGTTTTTGAAAAGGGAGTTGTGGGGGCGCCTGGGTGGCGCAGTCGGTTAAGCGTCCGACTTCAGCCAGGTCATGATCTCGTGGTCCGTGAGTTCGAGCCCCGCGTCGGGCTCTGGGCTGATGGCTCAGAACCTGGAGCCTGTTTCCGATTCTGTGTCTCCCTCTCTCTCTGCCCCTCCCCCATTCATGCTCTGTCTCTCTCTGTCCCAAAAAATAAATAAACGTTGAAAAAAAAAAATTAAAAAAAAAATAAGAAAAGGGAGTTGTGTTTGAATTAGAGTAACATAAATAATGGTTAATATGCGCCAACTGTATACTTCATCCTGTGCATACATAATCTCATCTAATATAATCCTCACAACCCTGTGAGATGAGTCCTGTCATCATTCCCATTTTAGAGGAAGACACTGAGCTACAGAGGTTAAGTGAGTTGCCCACGGTCACATAGCTAGGAAGGGAATGAACAGATTTAAACCCAGGCAGTCTAACCCAGAGCCCATGCCCTTAACCTCTCTAACCTTGCTGCCTCTGAACTGCAATCCACACAATAATCTTAAAACTAGAATCTACCTTGGAAATTCCCCATCTCCCCCATTTCTCAGATGAGAAACTGAGGCTTAACGATGGGGACTGACTTTCTTAAGATCACAGAGTGGAGGAGGAGCCGCTGACTTGGAGAGGTCAGTCTGGGCTACACGAGGGACTCCATCCTGGGCTCCATAGTCCCAGGCATCCTGTTGTCACAGCAGGCATCACCGTGCTTGGAATAAAACCCAGACTCCTTGCTGTGACCTACAAAGCCCTCATGTGATCAGAGCCTTCCTGACTCCCTCTGACCTCACCTGATGCACCCACCTTCTCCTCACCAGCAGGTTCCAGCCCTGTCATGCTGTTCCTTTTGCCAGGAATGCCCTTCCGCCTGGTCTTCATGTTGTTGGGCATTTAGTCCATTTGGGCTTCCATAACAAAATACCATAGACTGGGTGGCTTATAAACAACAGAAATTCAAGTCTCACAGGTCTGGAGGCTGAATGTCCAAGATCAAGGCACCGAAAGATCAAGACACCAGCGGATTTGGTATCTGATGAGAGCCCACTCCCTAGTTCACAGATGACTGTCTTCTCAGTGTCCTCACATGGCAGAAGGGCCCAGAGATCCCTCTGAGGCTTCTTTTATAAGGGCACTAATTCTATTCACGTTCTAATTGTCTCCCAAAAGACCCACCTCCAAATACCCTTGCAATGGACACTAAGTTTCAACATATGAATTTTGCAAGGACACACACATTCAATCTAGAGCATCCTTCTTGCCATTCAGGGAAATGTCACCTCCTCAGAGATGCCTTCTCTGTTTACCTGTTATTTCCCATCATTCTCACATCACCGTGTTTTATTTTTTTTTCATAGTGGTTATGATGATCTGAAATGATCTTTTTTGTTTTCTTGCCTTTGTGTTTTCCTCTCCCAAGGAAGATGTTAGCTGCAGGAGAACAAAGAGAGACCTCCTCTATTTCTACACTGTATCCCTGGGCCTCAGATAATGCTGGGCACAGAGTAGGTGCTCCATACGTTTTTGTGGAAAGTGTGCATGCATTTCATTGTGTGTTGATGGCCCGTCTCCCCACCAGTCAGGGACTTCACCAGGACTGGTACCATGTCTGATTCACCTTGTCGCCCCTAGGCCCAGGAAAGCGTTGGCACAGAGCAGGGCTGGGATACAGTTGTTAAATGACTGAATGAACAAAGGATAAAAGGGGTAATGGCAAGAGCACTTGCTGGGCTCTCTGGAGTCTGTGCCCCTCTTCTGTGAGGTGGCCACAGCCATTGCCAAGGGGCTGCCCCCTGTGGGAAGGAATATGGCTCAGTAATAGGGCTGCTGATGAGACAGTGGCTTCCAGGCCTGGGACTAACAGCTCCTGAAGCTCCCTCTTCTGCCCCTCTGTCATGGAGGAGAAGGGGCAGGGGGAGATGGAAGGGGGGGGATTTCTACTGGGCCTAGACATCTGCCAGTCTGTCTCTTTTAGTGGCCAATGCCCTCAAACCTTATTTTCCAAAGAAGGTTGTGTGGGCTCGACCTCACTTACCAGCAGGCAGCTAAAATCTAGTTCCCAGTCTGTTCTCTGCACCCTGGCATGAGTGAGATGGGACTAGGACCCTCCAGAGACGGGGACTTCTCCTTCATACAGAGGGTGGACAGAGGCCCTGGGTGTGTGTCCCCTATAGGCAGGGATAACACATTCCTTTTGTGGAGCGCCACAGTCCCCTCCCTTGTCCATCATAGCAAAGAATTTGGTGTTGTCCCTGCAGGTCCCCCCGATTGCCCCTTTGCCTGGCGCCATGGAGAATGCTGAAAAGGATGAATGCATAAAGTCCGTGTGCCAGACTGAAGCCACCTGACTCACATCCTCAGCCACGGTCACATGAGCATGTAACATGCACAGAGGCACATGGGCACATTAACCAGTTCCACACATGCATCATATCTGGGTGGGAGCGGATGAGGCGTGCTTAGGTCCAGTCCAGCTCCCCCAGCTTCTCCTGATCTCACACATCTTGGTATGGAGACCCTGACCCACCACCAGCACCTCTGTCCCATGTGCACACTGCACAGGCCTGTGCACCAGGGAACATCATCTCCCATCCAGCCCAGGTTCACTCTTTCTTACTCACCCCTCAGCCTCCTATCTATCAGCCTGTCACCTCCTCCAGGCAGCCAGTGCTGCTTTCCCTCTGCTACCCCTGGGGCAGGGGCCTCGCCCGGCTCATTCCAGCGTCTGCGGCTCCCACTCGCCAACGGGCCCTCAGCAGGGTCACCGCGAGCCAGCCGAGGGAGGAGTAGACCAAGGACGGGAGGGAGGAGGGAGAGGCGGCGGCGGCGGGAGGAGCGTGGGGCGGAGGCGGCCGCGGGAGGGGGCGCGCGCGCCGGCG